GGCACCAGGGACATCTTAGTGAATCAGACAGTTAAGACCCTGTGCTTGTGGAGATTCTTTCTAGATAGGAGAGAGAGAAAATTAACAAATAAGCAAGTGAATAATCAAGACAGTGACAGACATTAGTAAGTGCTGTGAAGGAAATAAAACAGGGCTAAGGAGTGACTGCAGGGAAGAATGAAACGGAGTGTTGGAGAAGACGTCTCAGAGAAAAAGACATTTGTTAGGAAGGAGCAACCTTGGGAAGATGGGGGAGAATATGATAATGGCATTCTACGCAGAGGAAAGACTACAGACCCTACAGCAAGAAGTAGCTGGGCATGTTTTAGGAATAGAGGGAAGGTCAATGTAGCTGGAGTGTGGTGAGCAAGGCAGGGGTGTGACCGAAGGTGAGGGAAGATGGCCAGATCTTACAGGACTTTGTAGGCCAGATAAATTTTCTTCCAACAGCAATGGGAGACCACTGACGAGTTTCCAGCAGTTTCAGAGAGGAGCATGATCTATGGAAGCTGGTTTGAAAGCATCCCTGTTTGCCACGTAGAGAAGAGATTGTCAATGAGCAGTGGTGGAGAGAGGCCTGTCAGAAGACAGCTGTCCACGTGAGAGCTGATGGGGACTGGACAGTTTGTGGTGGTGGAGATAGAGAGTAGAGAGAAATAATTCAAATTTAGGATATCTTCTGGAAGGCATGTGGATTAAATGAGGTAATTTATGCAAAACACCTCACAAAGTGCCTAACAGAAGGGGCTCAATTAAGTGCTTGCTGTAAATAATACAGCCTGGTGTAGCAGGCCAGTCACAATTCCATAAGTCAAAGAGAAATCTGCCAAATACTTAGATCACAGAGCAGGTTAGCAAACTGGTTCAAGCACTCATTATTTATGGGCCACTTGGGAAAGTCACATTTGGGGCCTCAGTTTCCCCAATTATAAAATGAGAAGTGGGCCAAATGAACTCTAAGGCAGCTTCCAGAGCTAACATCCTCCAAACCTTTTTGATGGCATATATCATCAGGGTTTGCTCGGAGAAGCAGTCACTGTGAGTGAGATAGAACAAGGAATTTATAGCAAGGAGTAGACCTTACAAAACTGTGGAAACCAGTGAAGTACTCTATGCAACGCATTGCCTCTGTGCCTGGTGTTGGGCCCAAAGTCATGATAGATCAGCCAACCCTGCAATCAAGAAGAAAAGTGAGGCACAAAGTTTGGGAAGTCAAGGGCAAACTGGAACACACAGGGATAAACTGGATGCCAAGTCTGTCTAACCATCTCTAATATTGATGCAGGTGATCTGCAGAAGCTAGAGCCCTTAACCATGGAGCTACTCATGCACCTAGCCCAAGACTCAAGAGCAGATGAGGAGGAGCTCATGCAGGTCCGAGTGCTGCCCCTGCCAATAAGTGAGCCAGCCGACTCAATGTCATGAACTGCCACTGTGCCTGGCACCCAGCTGTGACTTTCAGAGTAGAAAACACGGCTTTGCTTCCACCTCTCCAGTCTTGTGCCAATTTCTCTTGTGGCCAATCCCAATCTGGAGCCATGCAGGGAAGGGAATTCTAGCAAATGAGTTCCACTGCAGCTAAATTGACAATAAAGAGCTACCAGAATCCACTCCTTGTCAACTTGGCATTCATACACACCTTTGAAAACCATACGTAACTGTTAAATAAAGACAATAGCAAAATCATGCTTCCACTTAACATGACCCAATGGTCCCTCATGCAACTGAAAACTTTCTATCCTTCTCTCAAAGGGAGGATATAAGGTCCCTTTATGCACCTTTGGGTGATATTCATTCTTTTTCTAGCTGAGTCACCCTCTCCTTTGGAGGTAAGGGCTTTGGGAGGTGATTAGGTCATGAGAGCAGAGCCCTTATAAAAGAGACCCCAGGGAGTCCCCTCATCCCTTCTGCCCTGGAAGATACAACAAAGAGACAGCCATCTAGGAACCAGGAAATGGGCTCTTATTAACACTGAATCTGCTGGTGCCTTGATCTTGGAGCTCTTAGTATTCAGAACCATGAGAAATAAATGTCTGTTTATAAGCCAGCCAGTGTATGGTATTGTTATAGCAGCCCAAATGGACTAAGATAGGCATAAAACAATAACCATCATGGATTTTGTGTGTCAGGAATTTGGAAAAAGCACAGCAAGTGTGGTTCTTCTATGCCCCACAATGTCTGGGTTGAGATGACTCAAACAGCTGGGGGTAGGAACCCCTGGGACCAGAGAATCTACTTCCAAGATTCATTCATACTTCTGGTGCTCAGCCTGGGGTGGCTGAAGGAGAGGCTCATCTGGCACTATCAACTGGAAAACCTGCACGGTGGTCTCAAGGTAGCTGGACTATTTACAGGGCTGCTCAGAGCTCCAAAGCGAATTTCCCAGCAAATAATCTGCATGGCCTTTTATGACATAGCTTTGGAAGTCACCTGGTGTCACTTACACTATTTTATTGGTTGAAGAAGTCACAAGCCCTCCCAAATTCAAGGGGAGGAAATATAAACTCTGCCCTTCAATGGGAGGAATGTCAAAGAACTTGAGGCTATGTTTTAAAACCACCACCTGACACCTTGTCTAGTCTAGTTCATGTTTATCCACAGCAGGTGGCTAGTTCACACTTTTTCATTATTTAGCATTATTTGTATTACTGTTCATTTCTCACCTGTATCAACTGATGAGAATGCTGCCTGTGAGAGATATTATTACAGGTGCTTTCCCTTCCATGCTTCCCTGGGTTTCTTGGAAAGTCACACACCCCTCATAGCTAGACTCACATTTCAATTGTTCTACAAACTTACTACTTACAGGTGATCTCCTGACTTATTATAACTCTTTGGCTGGATACTCCTGCACATATGGCCTATATGATTCCTAATGCCTTCAGGTGACAATATTGAGATCAGTGGTCAATTAGCCAGTGAACAGTGATAAGAAAATATCTTGGGCTGATTCATGAAGTTTAGAAACAGGCTTCTGAATCAAACAACAATTCTAACCAAGACATCTTTCTACCTTAAAATATTCAAGAATCTGCAGAGAAAAACAGAAAAGGAAGATAAGTGATTGGCAAATCCTCCGAACTGTGAAGAAAGCAGAAAGCTATCTTGTAGGCGTGGCCTGTAGAGTAGACTTGACCATCATTCCAGAACCAGTTGGGTTGCATTTTGATGGCCTCCTATACCCAGAACATAATGAAGGCTCTCTTTTTCTGAAGAATTAGAGCACTTATAGCCTGAACTATTCATTTATTTATTCAACAAGCATCTATTGAGTGCTGCGGACAGGCCAGGTAGTGTCTCCTTTGCTGTTCAGGAACACAATGGTGAGGAAGACACACCCTCTGACCTTGAAGGACTGTGAAAGGGATCAAAACCAAGCCAAACCAAAACCAATTCCGAAACAAAAACCCAAATTTATAATGAGTAAGGGAGCTCAAGAAAAAGCACTTAATTATAAATAAGTTTCACTGTGGGTCTCGTGTCTTAGTCTCCTCGAATGTGACTGTAAGCTCGTTGGAGGCAGGAACCACATTCTAATGCCTCCATACCTCCCAGGACACTGCTCAGTGACATGTCCACAAGAACCTATCACTAAACATTTGCTACTGGTTTGACTGACAGATACTGAAATGAAATGAAGTTGCAGAGGTACAAAGTGTGTTAGCAGTATTTTTTGCCTCCTGCGCAGGTTCACAGTTGCCCATCTGTATATTAAACCATCACCACCAACAAATAAGAATGTCCTCTGTACCATCTTATGCTTGGTAGGAGGAACAACAGGGCTTTGATTCCTTGACATTCAAGAGCTCTCTGGTGACTTGATTCTTCCCCAGCTAGTGGTGCAAGTGATAAGAAGGCAGGGGTTTGGCTCTGCCACTTAAGAGCCGTTACTGAACCTCTTGGGGCCTGTGATTCCTCAACTTTGAGTGAGATTAGGGTTCCCTCCTGCTTTACTCAGGACACATGTTTTTGTTTCATAACTAGTTTGGGTGCAAAGGGAGATGTAGCACCCAGACCATCTATAAACTGATGGGATGTGACCTGGCTTCTCCCCTTGCTTCTCTTATTCCACGATAAATTCCCAGTCCTTATGAGGTTTTGGTCCCAGTGAATTTTCCCCTCAAAAACCAAACAGGATAATAATGAACCATTTTCTTGCATTTTCTATCAAGACCGCTCTTTGTGAGTTCTAAATGTTCTGTCCATATTCAAAGAAGCTGGTTTCTTCATGAGTGGTTGGAATAAGACTTCTCTTGGAAGCTACTGAATATGGATTAGTTGGATTGTTTCGCAGGAAATAAAAAGCAGGCTCTGGGGTGACTACTTCAGTACTTAATTGGGTTAGCAAAGAACTGCAAATGAGAGGTTTTCCTTAGGAGGGAAAGGATGTTTACGGCCCCCCACCCCCTTAGGTGGTGGATTTTTAACCTAAACCCTAGTGTTCAAATGCAGCCTTTAATTTAGAAACCATTACAAGAATCTATTAGAGCAGAAAATGTCAGGTTGAAAAATTAACACATCACAGGAGTTAATTAGAACCCAGCCTCTCATTAGATGCAAATAGAGAGCCCTCCAACTGGCCTGCTGAAGTCACATTTGTTGTAGCTCCAAAGTGGCTGCCTCCTTCCTACTCAGAGAGTGGACAGAGGAAACTGTCCAGGCCCTCAGGCCAGAGCCACTAGGGGCCCACAGCCTGCCCTTTGGGTTAATGGAAGGTTCCATTCCCTGTCCCCATCTTCTGCTCCTCTCCTAAATGCTCTGCCTATCACAGGGTGGAGAGCCCTTGGTGTGGAACTCCCTCAGGGAAGTGTTTTCTGCAACAAAGACAAACATGCCAGGTCTGTCACTGGGAGCAGACTGGCGACTGTGTAAACCGCTCTGTGAGAGGAGAGGCTGAGGGGCTCCGGGCCATTCAGAGTGAGCTCTAAGTCGTGGTCTTTGTTTTCTTTCCACATGCAGACTGAAATGTGATTCCCCTGGCTTTCTTTTCTGGAAAATACCTGCGATGAGTTCCATGCCGGGGAAAGAAAAGCTGTTGACAGGAAAAGCTTCTGCCCGGGGAAGGGGCTTCTTCCAGCGTTCTCCAAGGAGACAGTGCTTCGAGCAAGCCAGGGCAGGGACGCCGGGGCTAGGAAGAAAAAGTCCTGATGGCAAAAGGGGCATCTCTAACCAGGGATTAGGCAAAGCACATGCAGTTTCCTCTGTGAGAACAGTACCATGCCCATAAACAGGCACACGTCTGAGTCCCCTGTCACTTACTGTGTGATCTTGAACAAATTGCTTAACCCCTCAAAACATCAGTTTTCTCAAGCTGCTGAGTGAAATAAATGAGATAATGCACGGAAAGCATGTAACCCAGTATCCGGCCCAGAGTAAGGGTTCTATGGAAGTTCTTGGTTGTTGGTCTGATAATAGCATCGCTTCCCTCAACACTGATGGTGTAGCCTCTTTGTGCCAGGCCCTGTGCTGCTCCTTGACCTCGCGGAGTTCATCCTTCAATAAACCATGCACATGTACCGTCAGTACATGGCAAGCCTTCCTCCCCTTCCTGCAAATGCGTCAGGAGAAGTGCCCATTGCACACTAACTCTGCTTTGTTGAGTAGCTCAGAATCCTGCAGGCCATCTGCCCCTGCACAGCTCTGTAACCTCAGCTACCTCCACCCTCAATTTACCTACAATTCTCTCTCTATGTACTTACCACACTGAGTTAGAGTTGTCTGTTCCTTCTTTGTCTCCTCCTGTGAGTTCCTAGAGGGTGGGGATCATCTATTCATTGGATTCATTCATCTCATCATTTATTCATCTCTGTGGGCCTATGGTCTCCTGCATTACTCAGCACAGTCAAACGGAAGAGTCAACCCTACTCCTGAGTATGTAGACTTCCAGCTGGGAATATTTCTAGGGAAAAAACCCTGCCTCCCATCTTTGAGGGGCCCCCTTGGGCCCTGGTTTGGTTGGTCTTCCATTTTCTTTTTTTTAGGAAAGGTCTTCCATTTTCTAACTATTACTTCGGTTCTAGCCTCAGTTTCGTCACCTCTTTAAGAGGCTAATAGAGTCTCCTTTTCTGGGAGGTTGTGATGATGGTGGGAGACAAAGCAGCTTTTATGTGCCCAACACAGTTCTAGGTACAGAGCCAAAAACCAAAACAAGTTGATTCCATTCTTGCCCTCAGCCAAGTCTAGTTGCCAGTATATGAAAACTGAAGCTATAAGGCAAAATAGGAGCACCACAGGAGTGGAACAGATATCCTTCCAACTTGTATCCAGCCTCTGCCATCTGCCAGACTTGGCTGAAACAGAGGACACAAACATGCATACAAACCTGGTCCCTGTCACCAAGGCCCAGGAAAACCTTGGCAAGTGTTGGTCAAAAAGATCTCAAGAAGAGAGTAGAAAGTTCTTTATCCAGATCTTCAGACCTGGGCTGCAAGGAGATGTCTTTGGGACCTGGCTGGAAAGTAGGAGGTCACCTCACAACGACAAAAACCAAGTTATTTGGCACTTACTTTGTATGTGCCAGACACTGTGCTAAATGATTTAGGGGCATTCTCTCATTTAACTCTTAGAACAACTGTGTGGGGTAGACATGAATTTCCTTATTTTACAGATGGCCCATTTGAAGCTCAGAGAGGCACAGAAGCTTCACCACAGTCAAGCAGTAAGTAAATGGCTTAGAAATCCACCTGCTGAGTGTTTCACTGGTCTGACTGGAAAGGGAAAGGGTGAACTAGCACAAACCTCCACCCGAGGGGTGGGCAGTGGGGAGGGGGAGGGCTGGGAATGGGAGGGGCGGGGGCGGGGAACTGGATCAAAACAGCGGTCGCGTGATCCCGAGACCTCCAGGGCCCTTCGCAGCAGCTGAATAAGTTAAGAGATGCAGGCTGCAGGGGAGGGATGCCCGGGAGGCTGGGGGAGAGTACCCTCGGTGGTTGTGCGCCTTCATCGCCTCCTGTGCACAGGTCAAGCCTCTCCCCTCCCGCCCTCTCACCCTCCCAACCTTATTTAGAAACCGTGTCCTCGACACAGGAAGGGCGGCGGGCCGAGAAGCACGGAGCGTCCCGGTCTCATTTCCTTTTGAATCCCCCTGTGGAATTTCATTTCATACGGTGAGGAAATCGGAGCGCGAGACAGTCGGCTGGTCGGCTGCTCCGGGGCGCCTCCCCCACTAGCGGCTGGAGACAGGCAGCTCCCGGGCGCAGGTCGGACCGAGTCTGGGGGCGGGGAGACGCGGCCCGGCTCCAACCCAAGCAAGTTAGCAGTGAAAATAGCTGCGAGCTTGCGTTGTACCAGGCACCGGGCTAAGCGTTTCACGCATTACGTCTAATCCTCCCAAGTCTCTTTACGGATGAGGAAACTGACGCCGAGAGGTTGAGCAATTTGCTCAAGGTCACACAGCCAGGATTTAAAGCCACAGTCTTTGCAAATCTAAAGCCCGTGTTCTTTGTGTACGTTTCTCTGCCTGATAGGTAGGTAGCCACGGGCCGAGGTGACAGGAAGAGTGGAATGAAAGGGAGTCGACTGATCTGGGAGCATTTCTCACCTGGAAGAGGAGGGGGCAGGCTGGTCCGGCGGGAGCAACTCGGCTCCATCCCCGCCTGGCTCCCGAGCGCCGCGAACCGGGTGGGAGGAAAGTGAGAGCCGGGAAGCCGGGCGGGGCGCTCCGGGAGGGAGAGAGGGAGGGGCGGGGCAGGGGGGCTGGCGGGCGGGCGGGGGCCTGACCCTTCCAGCGGCAGAGCGGCCCCGCCCCTCGCTGCCCACGGCGCCCGGCCATTGGAGAGGCGCGCTGTCCGTCCCGCCCCGCCACCGCCCAGCGAACCTCTAGCGCCGCGGAGGGCTCGGGCGGTGAGAGCGGCGCGGCGCTGGGTGCTGGCGGGTTTTGCCGAGAGGCAGAGCGGACGGGCCAGGCGCCGGTTTGGGGGCTCGCCGCCTGTAGCCATGCCCCTCGCAGCCTGTCCTTCGGCCCCGGCCACGGGCGTCTAATATCCCACACAGTCGCGCGCAGCTGCCAGAGACCCGGCCGCTGCCCCTTCTTCGCCCTTGGCGCCCTATCACACTCCCTTCCCGGGAGTTGGGAGCAGCGCGGGCAGCCGGCGCCCCGGTGCAAACTGGGGGTGTCTTCTGGACGCCCCCCCGCCGCCGCTGCCCCCGGCTCTGGCCATGGCCTGGCGGGGCGCAGTGCCGAGCGTCCTGGGGGCGCCCGGGGGCGTCGATCTCAGTCTGCGGCTGCTGCTGCCGTTGCTGCTGCTCCTGGAGCCAGCGCGGGGCTTCGGGGACGAGGAGGAGCGGCGCTGCGACCCCATCCGCATCTCCATGTGCCAGAACCTGGGCTACAACGTGACCAAGATGCCCAACCTGGTGGGGCACGAGCTGCAGACAGACGCCGAGCTGCAGCTGACAACTTTCACGCCGCTCATCCAGTACGGCTGCTCCAGCCAGCTGCAGGTGGGCGCCCCCACCCCCACCCCTCGCGGGACGGGACCCCTTGGGCGGGGACGCCCCAGACTAACTCCATGAAGCCCTTGCCAAGCCAAGCCCCCTGCCCCCTTCCAAGGCTGAAGGGTAAAACTATCCTGGAAAAGTGATTTCCACCCCCACCCCCACTTTTCTGTCCCTTCTCAGGGACTGGAAGCCAAAACGTTGTGTAAGTCGTCTGGCCTGCGAAAGAACCCACTCTTACACCCCGCCCTTCCGTTTTTCTCCCCTGCTCACCCTTGTCTGGCCAAGCCCCTAACCCCAGTGGAGCTGAGGGTTATCTTTGCCAAGGATTCTGGCCGCCGCTGCTCGGTGGGCGAGTCCGCAGCAGGGCAGCCAGCTGCAACTAAGACTTGGAAGGAGAGATAAGGAGCCGGGAACTTCTCCTCCCTTTCCGACCTCCTTTCTCCCCCATATTTTGGGGGTGTGTTATTAAATGAAACCCCACTGCTTCGTTTTCTGCGGAGTGGCCCCTCCTCGCGTCGTCCTGCATGACTTTAGAGGTCATGCAGGAAGGAATGGTTGGGTGGCTTGAGATCATTTTGGATCCTCAGGGTTGAGGGCAGATTTAGGATTTGGTGGGGAGAAAACACAGCTTGGGGAAAAGGTGATAGTGTGTGGTCAAGCTCCAGGAAGGTATTTTTGTATATTAGAAGATTTTTTTTTCAGTCGTTAAAAATTTTAAAGCTTCTGTAATGATAGAGAAAATGCTCAGCCTACAATAGGTGAAGAAATAATTTGCATATACAGGGTGATTATAATCTTACAAAACCAACAACCAATTCACTTTTTAAAAAAGGAACTGAAAGAGATTTTTAAAAAAGGGTTAGCACTGGTTGTGTTTTGGTTAGTGAGGTGATGAGTGAGTTTTAGAAATTTAGACAGGAGAGAACTTGGGAAAAAAAATAGAGGGTAGTTGTCCAGGCTGAAAGCTTCAGAAATCCGTGGTTCTGGTTGTAACTTCTGAGAGATAAGAAACAGGCAGGCAGCTTACTTAGTAGGTGCGTGTTTTTACATAGGTCATTTTAAAAGTTGGACTGTGGTTTCAGAAAGATGGTTGGGATTAGACCTGTTGCTGCTGAAATGCTGAAATGTCCCTTCGGAGTTTTCAGAACTTCAGAACTAGGTTATAAAAGCTTAAGAAATGATCCTCTAGCTCTCAGTTTGGAAACAGCACATATCCTGACATCAGTGGCAATTTTGTTGGAGAAACAGCTTTTGCAGGGATATATATTTTTAATTACATGTATCCTGGGGAAGCAGCCAAGCTGTTTTGAAGGACAGGACTGGATCCCTTTACATGCTGGAAAATAGTTACTTGTAACTCTAGACTTCATAGACAACATCTGTAAGGAGGCAAGCCGACTGTTTATCAATGCTGGAAGAATTGAGGACAGCAACTGGACTCTCCCCTGCTGGTACTGCAGTTCCAGGGACTTCACATTTATATTTTCCTATTGTGCTTCATTATTATTCATTGAGGAAACCTGGCCAAACAAAGCCCTGGTGACCAGAGACCTCAACCTGCATCCCATCCTTGGGTCTACTAGTGTCTCAATTAGGACATTTTGTTTCAGTATGGGACTGATTAAAAAAAATTTAGGGGATAAAGTAAAGTAGAGAAAAGAGAGAATATTAATAGGAGAAAAGCTGGACCTACATTTTTTTTAACATTTATTTTTATGGTGATAAAGAAATGAGGACAAAAATAAATCACCCCATCACTGGAATGACTCAGTCATTCAATTAGTCTGTTCAGCTCTTTCAAAGAGGGAGACGCAAAGTCAAGTCTTAAGGTTTATTTTCTTAAGCATTATGCAAAAAAGGGATTATGTAATCCTTTAGGTCCTTTTAATATATTTATTTATTTATGTTCTGCGGGAAAGGATTGTTAGAACCCAAAGAAGCAAAGTGTCCAAGCAACGGATTTTTTAGGCACCCTAGTCTGAGGTCGGAGTAAGCAGTCAGAGTCCCTATAGCTGGTTAAAAGTCGGTATGTACTTTGCCTGGAAGCATTCAACTCCGCTTCATGCAAGCATTTGGTCAGACTTCCAAGTCATTGTTTTCTTTGTTCATTTCATTACTTTTCCAGTTCTTCCTTTGTTCGGTTTATGTGCCAATGTGCACAGAGAAGATCAACATCCCCATCGGCCCATGCGGCGGCATGTGTCTTTCAGTCAAGAGGCGCTGTGAACCCGTCCTGAAGGAATTTGGGTTTGCCTGGCCAGAGAGCCTGAACTGCAGCAAATTCCCACCCCAGAATGACCACAACCACATGTGCATGGAAGGGCCAGGTGATGAGGAGGTGCCATTACCTCACAAAACCCCCATGCAGCCTGGGGAAGAGTGCCACTCCGTAGGCACCAACTCGGATCAGTACATCTGGGTGAAAAGGAGCCTGAACTGTGTTCTCAAGTGTGGCTATGATGCTGGCTTGTATAGCCGCTCGGCCAAAGAGTTCACGGACATCTGGATGGCCGTGTGGGCCAGTCTGTGCTTCATCTCCACCGCCTTCACGGTGCTCACCTTCCTGATCGATTCCTCCAGGTTTTCCTACCCTGAGCGCCCCATCATATTTCTCAGTATGTGCTATAATATTTATAGCATTGCTTATATTGTCAGGCTGACCGTGGGCCGGGAAAGGATATCCTGCGATTTTGAAGAGGCAGCAGAACCTGTTCTCATCCAAGAAGGACTTAAGAACACAGGATGTGCAATCATTTTCTTGCTGATGTACTTTTTTGGAATGGCCAGCTCCATCTGGTGGGTTATTCTGACACTCACTTGGTTTTTGGCAGCGGGACTCAAATGGGGTCATGAGGCCATTGAGATGCACAGCTCTTATTTCCACATTGCCGCCTGGGCCATTCCTGCTGTGAAAACCATTGTCATCTTGATTATGAGACTGGTGGATGCGGATGAACTGACGGGCCTGTGCTACGTCGGGAATCAAAACCTTGATGCCCTCACAGGCTTTGTGGTGGCTCCCCTCTTCACTTACTTGGTGATCGGGACTCTGTTCATCGCGGCCGGTTTAGTGGCCTTGTTCAAAATTCGGTCCAATCTGCAAAAGGATGGGACAAAGACGGACAAGTTGGAAAGGCTGATGGTCAAGATTGGGGTCTTCTCAGTCCTGTACACGGTGCCTGCCACCTGTGTGATTGCCTGTTATTTCTATGAAATCTCCAACTGGGCGCTCTTCCGGTATTCTGCAGATGACTCCAATATGGCAGTGGAAATGTTGAAAATTTTTATGTCTTTGCTGGTGGGCATCACTTCAGGCATGTGGATTTGGTCTGCCAAAACTCTGCACACCTGGCAGAAGTGTTCTAACAGATTGGTGAATTCTGGGAAGGTAAAGAGAGAAAAGCGGGGGAATGGTTGGGTGAAGCCTGGGAAAGGCAACGAAACTGTGGTATAAGGCAAACTGGGCTCCACGCTTTCCAAATTTTGAAGGCATTGGGGCGGGCGGGGGGGAATGCTAGCATTTTGGTGAAAGTGCGACTAAAAGTTTCCTGCAGTGAATCTCAGTTTGAGCAGACTGGCAACACTTAAGTGACCCCTGTAAGCCACCACCACCTACCCCCCGCCCCCCCCACTCCCCAGCGTCATAAAAGGATTTTGCTGCAGACTTTGGAATGATCCAAAATGGAAAAGCCAGTTAGAGGCTTTCAAAGCTGTGAAAAATCAAAACATTGATCACTTTAGCAGTTCGCAGCTTGGAGCGTGGAGGTCCTGCCTAGATTCCAGGAGGGTCCAGGGCGAAGCTGCTTTTCCCTGCAGAGTGAGATCTGAGCTGTGAGTAGGTAACTCGCAGGGAGAAAGATTAACTTTTTTAACCCTTAAAATCTTAAATACTAACTGGGTCTTTCAGATAGCAAAGCAATCTATAAACACTGGAGAGACGGGGTTCAGACAAGTGTTACAAGAGTTTTATAGTTGGGCTGATCTAACATAAACATTTTCTGTGGTGCGCAGTCTGCTGTTTAGAACTTTGTGGATTGCTCTCCCAAGAGGTGGTGTCAGAATCTTTCAGTGCCTTTGTCCTAAGACAGAACTGTTTGGAAAAACAAAAGTACCGTACAAACACACATAAGGTGTCCAGTGGATTTTTCTTCTCTCTCTTCCTCTTAAATTTCAACATCCCTGTTCTGGGCTGCTGCTGTTTTCTTCATTTTACATTAATGACTCAAAAGAGGTATTTTTATAGGATTTTTTTTTGCACCGCAGCATGCCTAATGAGGGGGAAAGTAAGGGTGATTCACTTTCTGACAATCATTTAATTCAGAGGAAAATGAGATTTATCAAGTTGACTTACCTTACCGACCCGGAGACCTATTGCATTGAGCAATGGGGACTTAATATATTTTACTTTGTGTGATTGCATCTATGCAGACGCCAGTCTGGAAGAGCTAAAATGTTAAGTTTCTTGGCAACTTTGCGTTCACACAGATTAGCTGTGTAATTTGTGTGTGTCAATTACAATTAAAAGCACATTCTTGCACCATGACATAATAGTATACTCAACTGACTTTAAAACTATGGTCAGCTTGCATTCTCAGAATGATAGTGCCTTTCTTTCCTTTAGCATAAGAATGTTATCAGTCTAGTCTACTACCCACAATGAAGACTTTTCTGTTTTGTAGAGAAAACTAAGGACAGCTAATCCAACTACTTGGTGCATAATTGTTTCCTAGTAATTGGCAAAGGCTCCTTATAAGATTTCATTGGAGGCAGTGTGGCCTGGAGTATTTATATGGTGCTTAATGAATCTCCAGAATTCCAGCCAGGAGCTTGATTGGTTAGTAGGGAATAAAGTGTAGACCATATGAAATGAACTGCAAACTCTTAACAGCACAGGTCTTAATTGCCTTTTGCAGGGGTATCCAGAGCTTTTAAAATTTATGCTTTATGTTCCTCACAATGGGGTACCCCCCTAGCAGCCTCTCAAAAAGTTGCAATTCTTTTAAAATTGTAACTGGACTCTCTCAACCTGCCTTAGGCCTTCTAATCACCAGCTCCTCTGGGACAAATTGTCGACAATGTCACAGGTTGCTCTCCTTGTAGCTCATACCTATCTTTGCTTCAGCAGCTACTTTGCAATGACTCATTTATTTATTCATGCCCCACCCCACTCCCCTTTTAAAAACAGGTAGGAAAACTCTTTTATCGCCTTTCTTTGTGGAAAAACATTTCCAGGGACTCAAATTCCCGAATAGGTGGTCAGATTCTGGAAATACACGTGTCCTTTTCTGTCTTTTTTGAGTTTTATGTCCGTGGTTTGACACTTTCCTTTCTTCTTTGTTTTTGGGGGCTCCTGAGCCGTCTGAGGTGAAGATGCATATAAGGTCTGTTGTGTCTTTTGGGAGGGAAAGTCTCGGGGCTTTGAGGACAGATGCTAACTGGGCACGGGTGGTCCCTGGTGTGTGTGTGAGCCGAGCCCAAGTACCTTGGCTGGACTCTGGGTCAGGGTTCCAGGAGCATGAGAAATGATCCCCAGAAGGACCAGTTGAACTCCATCTGAGACTACGTCTCCTCTGAAATACAAAATGTGAACTCCCTGTGCTGCTTGCAGACAGTTCCCAGAGCTGGCCAGGGCCCTGGAGCATGCACCCAGGGGCAGAGCCTGCCCTTACTCACGCTCCACTCAGTGTCTTGGGAGTTGTGCTGAGACTCTGGCCCAGGAAAGGGAAGGACGGTACAGTGGGGCACTGGCCTTGCTGTGCGACTGTAGGGCTTTGTCACAGGCACGGAGTAGGTGCTCAATATTTGTGAATAATGAAATAATAATAAGAGTACTTAGGTGAACCTCTACACCCACGTTCTGGAGCTAGTGCCCTGACAGCTCTCTGGGTTTATAGCATGTCCCTTCTGCAAATCTCTGGCCTTCCCAGGGGAAAGTATATTTGATCAGAAGTGGCCATCGGTGCAGCCTGGATTAGTAGCCCTAGCTATCAGGGCTGTGGGCCTTTCCTTTCACATTCCAGACAATGGAGAGTGTTTACGGTTTCAGGAAAAGAGCTTTGTGGCTGAGGTCAGTTACCAGTTACCTTGACACGACTCCATCACCTCTTAAGTTGCTATTTGTTTAAAAAAAAAAAAGTCAATTATTAGCACATTTATTGAGTGTCCACTCTGTGTAAAGCCCTGTGTTAGGCACCTCAGGGGACGTCGAGGAGTACAAAGCTCAGTTCTTCTCGATCACCTGAACTGAGGGTGCTCCTGGGTCTGCTGAATTTTGCTGTTGGTTTTGGGGAAGGAGGACGGGCCTCTGAATGTTCATCCATTTTACTGTCTCCCGTCCCATAAACCGCTTCCTGGGTCTTTCTGCCTTTACTGTCTCTCTCAGCCCTCCCCACGATTCCCTGCTAGTCAGTCACAGGGGTTTTGACAGAAGGCCTCAGCCCTGTTTCATGACCACCTCTGTGGAGATCACCGAGGAAAACTACGAACACTGGCTGAAAGGATGTGAGCTCCCACACCTCATGTGGCTGTGGGGACAGGCCGTGCAGGGCTTGGGGTGTTCCATGTGACTTGCACAGGGGAATTTGAGGGCATCTTGCAAGGGAAAAGGTTAGGGCTGGGGTTTTTCTTGAAATCTAGAATAAGTAGGGATGATTGGAGCTTCCCACAAAATGCCTTGGCCTCTGGAGATTTTATTCAGCGGGCCCTAAGGGAACCCCTGTCCACCCTCTGCTCTGGCAAACCCCTCTTTCTCTTCCTTTGTAAAGGCCACCATTCAGGGCAGAGGAACATGAGGTAGGGTGGAACTGGCCAGAACCATCTGGTTGAGCTACTTGGTTGATTCATATCCTTTTTCCTCCCATTTCCTAATCTCTGAGACGGCTTCTGAGCTGGCAGCTTGCTCCGGGTCCTGAAACCAGAGAAGGGGGTGACACTGTTTATTTCCCTGAGATGCTCCCCGACTTTCCCCTCCCCAGTCACTCCCTCACCTGCACCCTGAAACCCAGAATCAGGGACACTTCTGTGTTGAGGTTCTGAATTGTGACTTTACCAGCACCCTGAGCTCTTGTCTTCTCTGCCCCCCCACCCCCAAGCCTCCCGGTCACTGAATTCAGGGCTTACTGTGTTAGCAACCAAGTCAGGACCCGAGGACACGGAGGAGCTCGACAGCTTCAGCCCTGGCGCGCAGACTCAGTTTACAGGGATGTCACCAGGCTGGTGCAGTCTGTGGCTTCTGGGGAGGTGGCCCTAGCAGCAGTCCATGGGGAGAGCCACAGGGCACAGACTTTGGAAGGAGCCCCCCTACGTCCTGAATTTCATTCTGTGATGGGAGAGATTGGAGGGAGTTGCCTTTCCAGCCAATTATGTCCAGTCACTGGACTCTAATGGTTCCTGGTATTCTTTTATTGTATTTGGGTTCAGAGTCCTCCTCTGGGTTTGTATAATGCCTGGCGAAGGACCCAGGTTATCATTTTTCCTCTGGGCCTAGGTCATAGATCTTGGAATCTCCTAGAAGAGCATTTTGCTCCTACCGAGGATCAGATACCGGAGCCTTAAATAATGGATTTTGTTTCCCTGTGGCCTGCTCAGGGCTCTCTGCTGCTGCGGCTTGCCATGCGCTGTGCGGTCACGGCACCCTGGCTCTCACCAAGAGGGAAGTGAACCCTGACCCTCCCCAACAGGCTGCTTCCCTTCGGGCGGCCCATTTGCCCTGTAGCAGCTTGTTCCTGTTTCTGATTTACCTATTTCCCTTCTTTGCACCAGCGAATTCCCCGTATTTGCCCAGGCAGTTTGGAGAGGGCCTGTTTGGGGTCCTCTGTGAGCCATGTCCTCTAGGCTTTGATGGCCCCTGATCCCCTGCAATATTCAGGATCTGATCACTGTCATCTCAGAAGGGCTTCTGAGAAGAGGGGTGGGAGCAGTTCTGCTCTCCGAAGGCTGGTCCATTTCTCCCCCAGGATGTGCTCCTCTCCGTGTCCTGCTCATGGGCTCGGGCCCCAACTTGGTTGTGCACTTTGGGAGAGGGAGGCTGCTCTCTCGCTCTCTCTCCAGTGGGGCATCTAGGTGGTTCAGAATTTTTTCCTACCTCACGGGGATGTTGTGAGACTTTCGAAGGTCTGAGGATGAAGGCCCCTTGAGCTCTTTGCAGGAAGGGTGGAATAACTATCAAGTGTGACGTGTGACAAGACGAACTGGGCCTCGGCCTGCTTGTGCAGCAGGCAGGCTGGTGCCCTGTGGCCTGTCCTTGGGCCCCCGCGCTGCCCTGCAGCTCCAGCCACCTTGAGGCCAACCCTGGGGGCTTTCAGATGTTCGACATACAGGTACCAGGCAAAGCCCTGCTACACGTGCCCTGATGAATTGCTGAACGTCAAAGGAAGTGGACCCTGCTTTTAAGGATGTACAACGTGTGTCTGCATTGATGTCTGTACTGTAAATTTCTAATTTATCACTGTACAAAAAAAACCAACTTTGCTATTTAATTTTTGTATTAAAGGAAAATAAAGTTTTGTTTATTAACTGGTCTGAGATGTGGCGTGTTCCTGGAGGAATATCATAGTTCCCAGGAAGCACACATTCCCAGCAGTGAGAAATCGAGAATTTGGTCTGCAGGGCAGATTGGGAGCCTCTTTCTGAGAGCCTCTTTGTTTCTTTTTTGCTGGTGCTATTTTTCCCCTCTGGGATTTCTCCTGGGTCAGCAAACCCCTGAGGTCCAAGGTCAATAGAATTTATCACTACTGTGGTCATCAGTATCACTCTAATGGTCACATGATGCTTTGGAGGTAACCATAGTTCCCAAGCTGTCATCCATGACACCTCTTTTTGGCATTTCCACTATGGGTGGCCATTTTTAATATTCTTTCCAAGCACCTTTGACTTAATCTGGTGGCTTGAAAAAGTTTTTCCTATCACCACTAGAGCTTCAGGGGTCTTTAAAAGGGGCGAGGGGAATTTTTTTTTTTTTTTAACATTTTCATTAAATTTTTTTTCCTGGCTACCCAGTGGTCATTTTTGTATAATAGACATGGGAGTATGTTGTATCAGTCAACCAGGATGACGACTTCTTTCGTTAATTTTATAAATTGGGTGGTCTATGTCTCCATAACCAGAAGTCATCAGACAAAGCAAATTTAAAGCCATTATTAGGACACTGTCCTGAAAGCAAATAATAAGGACACACAGACACAGATGAAAGGGGAACCACGCCATTGGAGATGTCTGCTGTGGCCCAGAAGAGAACATCAGCCCTCTTTGTTTGCCTTTAAATTACTTTCCACACCCTGGTTTCACCTGAATACCACCCTGTTTGGTGTAAGGAAAAAGTCCAGGGAAGAAGGATCTGTAATACTATTCTCCTTCACTGCAGATTGCTATTGTACTTGTATCTGAAACCATAAATGAAGGGAGGTATGTAATTTAAATTCTCTTCCCTGGAAGACAGGCTGTGTTTCTCATTTCACAACCTACTCATTAGGTAGTTATGAAGTTAAGGAAAAGTCAACACAATCTGGAATGAATTCATAATTGCACTTGTACGAACACTTTCCATATGAAAATACTTTTATACTTACATGATTTCATCTTATTCTCATGGCATCTTTAAAGTAAGCAGGGCAGGCATTGTCTTGTTTAAGGAAGAACTGAAACTTCGGGCAAGGGACTCACCCAGGGAGGTAACAGGTTGGATGGACATCCTGGTCTTCTCACGCCTGGCCCATGGATTTTTGTTGTTGTCTTACACACAGTGTGGTGAGTGTGTGCATTCGCCCAAAAGACATGTTGAAGTCCTATCCCCTTGTACCTGTGAATATGGACTTATTTGGAAATAGGGTCTTTGCAGATGTAATCGGGTTAAAATGAGCTCACACTACATTTGGGTGGGTGCTCATTCAATGACTGGTGTCCTTATAGTAAGGGGGCAGTTTGGACACAGACACTGAGAGGAGAGATGGCCTTGTGAAAGCAGAGGCAGAGATGAGGGTGATGCAGCTGCCGGCCAGGCCAGAAACCCCAAGGATTTTCAGCCTCCCAAAAGCTAGGAGGGAAGCAAGAACAATTCTTCCTCAGAACCTCCAATGGCAGCCAGCCCTGCCGACACCTTGACTGCAGACCTGTAGCCTCCATACCTGCACGAGAATACATCTCTGGGTCTGAAGCCACCCGGTTTGTGACCATTGGTTATGGCAGCCCTAGGAAACGAAAACCTACTCGATTCCTTGGATTCCTTCAACCACTGCAAACAGTTTGGTGGGAATGGGTAAATGTTTTGGAAGGCAACTCTCTCAATAATGAGACCTGGCCATGAGCTTCTGTTGTTTAAGGATTATGTAGCATAAATCACTGGGATAAGTTTCTTTATCTGCAAACTGGACACCTCTAGAATCAACCCCATGATCCCTGACACTCAACTGACTTAAGCTGGTCTTGGCTGGTCTCCCACCCACCCACCCCCAATGGGAGCTCTGTGTGCAGGGCCAGGACCTTGACTGGAATGTGGCCCAAGGGTTTTTAGCATTTCTGTCCTGAGAACTGATTTTTTCTTTCCCATTTTAGCTTTCACATGCGATCACAATTTTAAAGTTGAGCTCACTCTTGACTAGAGAGGTCAGCCTCGGCTTCCTGTCTTCAGAGGTTCCATGGACAGAAACAAATCATGCTTGGAGAAGGCTGTCGTCCTCTCCTCAGTTTTCCTTCCCAGGGCAGCAGGGTTGGAGGAATGGGACCATCTCGCTAAATGTTGTGAAAATGTTGGACATGAAAAGGTGTATTCCAAAAGGCTTTCGAAATGGGCCTTGGCCCCATCTGAAATTCCTAAAATCACCCTGTCCTCTTTCTCAGTTCATTCTCAGGCTAAGAGAATGCATGCATTCACCTGCCCTCACACAAAGGATTCCAACGTCTCACTCCCAGGAGAGAGAATAAAAATTAAAATTTACTACATTTAACCTCAGTGTCCTGATGCTCATTAGCCTCCTGCGTGGTTTCCTCTAAGCGCCTGATTCTGTTTTCACCCAAGGACGTGCCTAATCTCCTGGCGAGCCCACCTTATCAGTGCCTTTCTTTCTGAGAGATGAAGTGATTGGCTATCGAAGTTTTCTAAAATGCCCGAGGGTTGCATCATTTCACATGATAGGAGGCAAATGGGTCGAGTATAAAACCATGAGACGGAATTGATAAATCACATAGAACAATTTGTCCACGCTCTCCCTCTCACTCCCTTGCTTTTTCATAGGTGTTTCCCTTTGCCTAGAATGCCCCTTCCATCTTTCCTCAACCAGGGAAAGTTGTGCCTGTTCTTCATCCAAGACTCGAGTCTTGAGTCATCTCTTCTGGGAAGACTTCCTTGACTCTCCTCCTTACACTTCTGGCCTTTCCTTCTTACCATAGTCTAAGCCTCTGGCAGCCTTCACGGCACTGTTTATAATGGTCTCTTCATGTGTCCATCTCGTCACTGGACTGATATCCCTGAGGATGACTCTGGGTGCCCAAAGGTGCCTGCCTGTGTGCCCTCGGGGCCTGGTGCTAGCCATGCCTGAGACAGGGCATGAGTCTCAGGAATGTCTATGGAAAGAAGGCTGGAGGGAGGCAGGGCTTTTAGGTAGGTGAATGGGAGGGGGGGCGTGGGGGGGGGAGGGGTGGTTGTTGACAAACATAACCAGCATAGGAAAGAAATCAGAGCTAACAATAAGAGCCATCACATAGGTAGGACTTTCTGGAAAGATGCTCTGGCAAAATTCTCAAAGAAAATTCTCTACTCTCAGAGACAGGTTTGAGAATGATCACCTACCCCTGTGTCGCTTATTGTTAGTTGTCTTTCTTCCCTTCTTTTTTCCTCCTTCCCCTCCCGAACAACATTTGCTGCGAGCCTACTGTTTGTAGAATATGGGCCAGGCTGGGGAAGGGGGAGATGGAGTGCTTATAAAAAGCCGCAAAAAGACAAGGTCCAACTCAGAGTCCAAAAGTGCAGATGACAAAACAGAGAAAGAATTCAGCTGTTATTAACAAGCTTAAAACTCCAAACCTGGAAAAACAAATCCTCTACTGCTTAGTAAATATTTGTTGAATAGCTGAATGAGGGCCCATCATGCACCAGCCACTGTCCTCGGAGGGCACTGTAGGGGACACCAAGATAAGTAAGATACCACGTCTCCCTCCAGAAGTTCATTGGCTGCACCGCACGTCCTGGTCTATCCCTACCTGCTAAAGGATCAGTGCTCCTCTTCCTAGCTCATTTACTATGTAATTTCTCCCTAACCGAAGTCCCAGGACCTTGCTGGTTTTGCTCAGAAAGAACAGCTTCTGAGTACCGAGTACAATGGGAAAAAGTTCTTCAAACTGTTGTCATGTCATCATTCGATCGCGAAAATGACACCTCCGCCTCAATAGGTAAATGTGTAGGGAGGCAGGGGGAAGAGGAGAAAGGAAGGGGTGGACCCCAGAGATCACCACTCTTACGATTTGGTCTGCTCATCACAACCACCTGCTGATTTCAGTATGTAAAAAATAAAACATAAAAACGTACTCATGAGGGGCACCTGGGTGGCTCAGTCTGTTAGGCGTCTGCCTTCGGCTCAGGTCATAATCCCAGGGTTCTGGGATCGAGCCCCGCATCGGGCTCCCTGCTCCGCGGGGAGACTCCTTCTCCCTCTGCTTGCAGCTCCCCTTGCTTGTATTCTTTCTAAGAAATAAAATCTTTAAAAAACAAAACCAGAACGTACTCGAGACGTGCCGCTGAAGGCACTGAATCATCAGAACCACCTGCACCTGAGCATCTTTTCTAGCAGCCATGTTAATTTGGAATATTTGCTCTGAATGGGTGGCTGCGTAGGGGGGTGTGCCTTGTGTCCTCCAAGCCCGTTCCCTTGCTTCTCTCGTGTCATAATTCTATAAATCCAAAGAGACTATTCTGTAGAAGTTTAAAAAAGCATGTGGTCAATCCCCATTTCCTCGTTTACGCAGAATGAGAGGAATAAATGTGCGAATCAACGCGCTGAGAAGAGTGGCCTGTTGGGGGTGCGGGCGGCCAGCGCTCAGAGGAATTGGAACCGGAGATTCTTGGAGTGGGAGGGAAGGTGGCCGGAGGCCAAGTTAGGAAAGGCCTGGGAGGCCGTGCCGTACCCCGCGCCCCCGCGCCGGGCACAGTGTGAGGGCAGGGAGGGCTCCGGTCCACGTCAGTGGTTCCGCACAGCTCGCCCTGGCTGCCGCAGGGACGGGGGCTGGAGCCCGGGCAGACGCCGGGCAGAGGCCGGCCGACCAGTTTGGACGAGAAACCACGAAGGCCTGAGGGAGGGTGGTCGCAGAGGGATGGAAAGGCCAGGGCGACGTTCAGAGAAACCACAACACGCGGCGTCCTCCACGGCCCTGTTCTACGAGCCGAATCTTCGCTTTCTGGGCTGGGGGTGTTTCAAGGCCAGAAGCTTTCTGTTTGCTCTGCGCACCTGATCCTGCATCCTCCCTGCATTGTGAGCCACCAGCCGCAGAGAAATGACCACCCGCACCAAAGGGCCTCCGCAATTTGCAAAACACTACCCAGGTGGCCCCGGGGGGAGCTGGGCTTTTCCTTGAATGGGGCTCCTTCCCTGGAAGGGCCCGGGTCGGCAGGATACCATTTGCCGGGCGCTGGAAGGAACAGGGCGCTTGTGTCTGGTTGTTCCTATCGGGCCGAGGGGCCCCACCACCTCTTCTGGACTCAGAGTTTCCTATCAAGACACACTTCCTAGAATAGCTGATACAAAGCCATAGGAAGGGCTGAATTTAGGACAAACTTAATCCCCAGTCGTGTCCTTCCATCTAGATTTTATTTCTTGATACAGTTTTCTTTGCGGCTAGTATGCACGGCCTAACCAGATCCACGGAAAAAGATACCACGGGCACACATTTTTCCTAGTCTTTTTCCTTTTCAGTGAGAAATTCTGTATAACATTTTCCATAAGTAAAAGAGAGAACCACTTCCTAGCTTTTTTTTTTTTTTTTTTTTACAAGAACAGACCTTCCTTTTGGATTTACATCAGCATTTAGCTAACTTCCTGAACACTTCACCCATTTCCTGAACTTATTCTGAGGAAGGAAAAACATCCTCCTTCAGAAATAAATGCAAATAATCGCAGAGATTATTTTTATTAAATAAATAGTGTAAATGCAATGGAATTTCCTGCGCAATATACGTTTACTATGGGTATTTCAACAAAATCTGTGGCGAGCCTGTAGGAACCATCTTATTTACAGATAGTCTGAGGAATTCTAACCATTATGTAGCTACTCCAGAGATAAGTTCTGAACATTTGCCGTTTGTGTTCTTGTTAAAAAGCATTTTTTGCTGAAAAAGTCTGAACGCTAGGGGGAATTGTTTTCTTTAGGTCTGCAATTTTGAAGCTTTCTTTCTTTTAAAACGGGGTTTTCATGACATCTAGTGGTGATCAAGGGAATGACATCTTCAGGGCGGAGGATCTACTCCACGGAGTGTCCCAGTAATTAGGATTTTTCTTGTTTCTGCCTTTGCTTGGGAGAAAACACACCCCTTCCAAGGACTTCTTAGCCCATACTGCCCAGGAATCCTGAGAAGTGGTGACAAGGAAACAGCAACCGTTATGCGTTTCTGGAGATGTTCTCTTCTCTTGATTAACATTTCTTCTGAGGCAGCCCACCACCTAAGGCTAACCTGGTTCAATTTTAAGAATGAATAAAAAACGTGAGACCTTGCAGAGGAAACACATACATTGAGCTGGGATCAGGTTTTTAAATTTTTTTAATTTTTAAAATGAAAGTACTTTCTCTGTGACAAGGCCTCCTCCCCTTCAGCCATCTTTTAGTGGAGAACCATCCTTTTCTGGTGAATAAATCTCATTGGCGTCTTAGAGATCTATTTTAGGCTGCCTGCCCGTCATTTTTGAATGCTTTCCAGGGCCCTTCTTATGTTCTCTAGT